TTGAGAGACAACACTCCCTCTGCCATTTTCCTAAAACTTCGGTCCCCACGATCCCCTTTTTCTCTCCATCTACCAAAAGGACTGCAACACAAACTTGAAGTTCCTAACTCAGTTTTGTGCCCGAGCGTTCGTAAACGCTGGCAGGTGCTCCCAATAGGCATGACGGGCTGTATAATTTTATATATCTTGCGCACATGCAAGATATACGGGAACGTGCCGGAACGTATCCGAGTGTGTAGACATGCGATGCGTCAAAAAAGGCGTCTACCCTGTAACCATTGGCAGAACCATCGCAGCGGCTGCAGTCACCGCCAGTCTTCCCAGAATACAGTGTTTCCAACAGCGAAATTGAGGTCACGTGGTTCATTGGCTGCGTTTGGAGTACGAAGTCCAAAGAGGAGACCTACACGTTGGTTGTCCGGAAGCGTCTCCCCCTACTCTCCTTCTTGCCACGCGACTACGCAACGCATGCGCACTTGCGACCAGTCTGCGCAGAAGGCGTCCGTCATCAAATGGAAACTGCTCCTCAAGGCTGAGCTGATATGTTTCAAATGTCAAGAAGAGATCTCCGATGAGCAATCGATTTCATGTAATGATTGCGGATATTCGTATCACCCCGGAAGTTGTTCGGGAATCTCTGAAGCGACACTGAGAACAAAAGGCGAGTCATATCGCAAAGCTTGGAAGTGCCCCACCTGCCGAGCTTCAAAACTGAAAGGCGGTGCGTCCAATAAGCAAACATCCGATGACGGCATATGGACAATGTTGGCGTCCATGAACTCAAAACTAGATAACCTACTAGATCTGAAGGAAAAAGTTGGAAACATTGAAGCGTCGGTCAACATGATGTCGGCACAATACGATGAGATTCTGAAAACCGTCACGGAACATAAGAAAGAAATTAAAATTCTCAAATCTAGAGTTGAAGAAATCGAGAAGCGAGACGAAGCGAGGGAACTCAGCCAGTTAAAGTTGGAGCTCCTGACCTTGAATGGAGAAGTCGGAAGCTTAATTTGGAATTCCACGGTATTCCAAAAACTAAAGACGAAGATCTAATGAGCAAAGTGAATGAGGTCGCGCCAGCGCTAGAAATACCCGAGCTGACTGGAACTGACATCACAGCAATCCACCGACTGCCGTCAAAGCCCGACAAGATTCCAGGTATTATTGTCAGGTTTGCCTCTCAGACAACAAGTGACGCGTGGTTGGACCGTAAAAAAAGGCTAAGAGCAAGTGGAAAGAAAGTGTACATCAACGAGAACCTGACAAAACAAAATCGAGAACTGCTTGTCAAGGCTAAGGACTGGGCAAAAGGAAAAGGTTTCTTGTATGTGTGGCACAAAAATGGTAAAATCTTTGTTAGGCGCAGAGATGGTGACAATGCCTTTGTGGTCAGGAGTGATGAAGATTTGCAAAACATTCCGTCGTAGTTGCATATTTGATGATGCTTAGAATATTTGTTCACAAATAAACTCCAAATGGCTTTTCCAATGACAGAGAGTACTTCTTTTCAGCCACTACTTCCTGTTGAAGTAACGGCTCTCCTCGAGAAAAAATGTAGTTCACATTTAAAGTGCTTTCATTTAAACGCGCAGTCCGCAGTTAACAAAAAAACAGACCTTGAATTGCTTTTTGATCAGTTCGGTGTTCTTTTTGATATCGTAATGCTTACCGAGACCTGGTATAAAGATGACTCGGATATTTTTAGTTTACCATCCCATGATACGCATGTTTTAAATCTTACTTTAAAGCGAGGCGGAGGATTGGCCATCTTGATTAGAAAGGGTATTGAATGTGAACTACTAAGCGATTATTCTCTTATCACAAAAGATGTGGAAGCATTGTGCTTACGTAATAATCAAAATATTTTCGCGGTTTTTTATCGCCCACCGGACGGTAGTATGTCATCTTTTTTTGCATTTCTTGAGTCTTTTTTGATGTTCACAAATGAAAGTATATATAACGTCATTTGTGGGGGTGATTTTAATATTGATATGTCTTCTGACAGTGTTTCTAAAAGGGAAATGGAAAACGTAGTTAGCATGTATGGACGTGTCAACACGATAGTCGATCCTACAAGAGTTACCTTACAGTCTAAAACCATTTTAGATTTGTTTATAACCAATTTTCATACAGATCGACTGAACAGTGGAGTTATAAGTTGTGACTTGAGTGACCATCTTCCCATTTTCTTGTGTGTTGACCTTAATATATCTCGAAAGCTAACGAAATGCGAACCTGCGATTTTCCAAAGTATTGATAAAAATAGCCTCGATGCTTTCAGACGAGACATCGCAGCTGTAGATTGGAATACGGTGCTTACGCAAGAAACGGTTGATTATGCCTATAACTTATTTTTAGAACAATTTCTAAAGCTGTATAAACTTCACTTTCCATATAAATCCGTAAAAATATCAAAGAAGATTCGTAAACTGTGGGTAACGTCCACACTGATAAAAAAAATTCGTAAGAAAGATGTACTACACAAACGGTTCGTCAAGACACGCAACCCAGATGCTCTTAAGGAATTTAAGTCTTATCGAAACGGCTTAACTAAGGAGCTAAGGAATGCCAGAAAATGTTATTATTCTTCCCTTTTCTCGTCGGAAAATGGTCGCACTGACGTAATATGGAAGCATCTTGGTTCGATGGTTAAGGGGTTTCCTGTACCAAACTTTATTGAAACATTGCAGTACAAAGGTGTAAGTTTAACTGGCCAAGATTTGGCAAATGTGTTTAATGAATATTTTGTAAATATATCTAGTATTGCCGACACTAATGACTCGTGTAAATATATTTGTCAAAGAAACTGTAGATCTATATTTTTAGAGCCAATTGCTAATTCAGAAATAACTAATGTGATTATGCACTTAAAAAATAGCGGTAGCTGCGACGCTGATGGAATGCAAATTCGCCCAATTAAGTATGTTGCCGACCTAATTGCTCCCGTGTTAACTTACATTTTTAATCTTTCTTTGGAGTCTTGTGTGTTTCCCAGAAGAATGCAAGTAGCGAAGGTGTCTGTACTGTATAAAAAAAGGTGATAAAAATGACTTAGGCAACTATAGACCTATTTCTATATTGCCCGTATTTTCGAAGGTTTTGGAAAAGCTACTCTATCACCGTTTACTAGATTTCTCGAATAAATGTGACCTCATAACTTCCTCGCAATTTGGTTTCAGAAAAAACTGTTCAACAGAGACAGCTTTACTTAATCAAAAAGAATTTATTTTAGAAAATTTTGAAAGTAAAAAATTAGTTTTAGGAGTGTTCCTAGATTTCACAAAAGCCTTTGACTGTCTTAGTCACGAAGTATTATTCAAAAAGCTTGAAATTTATGACATTCGTGGACATGCCCTACAGCTTTTAAATTCGTACTTACGACATCGTCAGCAATATGTCAACATAAACGGTCATTCTTCCACTGTAAGATCTATTACGTCAGGCGTTCCACAAGGAAGCATATTGGGACCATTTCTTTTTAATTTATACATTAATGATATAATCAACGTAAATACTAAGGCGAAATTTCTAATTTATGCTGATGACACAACCATTTTTTTTTCTGGCGAAACCTGTGACGAAATAATTGATATGGCGAACTTTACTCTATTAAATATAAAAGGCTGGGGGGTAGCAACTCACTGAAAATTAATATTAATAAGACTAAAGCCGTCATATTTCGACCAAAAAATAAGTCTCCGGTTATATCGAAGGTTCTCCGCTTTGACTCGTCTCCCATCGAAATCGTTAGTTGTTTCAAAACACTCGGAGTGTTTTTTAGTGAGACAATGAGCTGGGATAATCATATAAACTATATTGTTCCAAAGCTTGCTCGGGTAGTTGGAATCGTAAATCGCTACCGATCTGTTTTACCAACGAACGTTAAATTGTTGCTCTATAAATCACTATTTTATTCCCATTTAACGTATTGTCTTCTAGTTTGGGGCACATCCACAATGACTAATATAGAAAAACTGTTTTTGCTGCAGAAAAAAAATATTGAGAGGAATATGTAATGTGCCATATGACTTTCATTCTGCCGATTTATTTAAGACTTGTAAAATAATTAACATCTTCAAATTATATCAGTACAGACTCGCTACAAGTTTTAAAAGTGAAAAGAAAAGGGGATTGTGTTTTCTGGAAAGACTTGCGTCGTTAAGGGAAATTTGCCCACATTATTCCACCCGCAACGCAGAGAAATGGAGGATGGTCACTCAACGAACACATTATGGCTATCAAATGTTAAATTTCACACTCCCACATTTACTAAATAGTTTTAGCATTGATGATATTGACTTTGATAGTTTAACCTTCCAAGACCTGCGCTTATATTTTTTTTTGCACGTGATCATTCTATGTTTTGTACTTGGGTGAACCTTGGTTTGTAGAAATGTCAACCGGAGTTGTGCAACGGTTTCATTATATACTTTGACTTTTTTTTTTTTTCCGCCTGCTTGCTGATGACGAATGTAAGGGGCCCGAGGACCAGTCAAGCTGCCTAGTGCAGCTTTTTTCCTTTGGGCCCCCCATCATTTGATGGAAATAAAGTTATTATTATTATTAAGGTCGCTCTTTAAAGCCGCAGTCATACACCGTACAAAAGACGGCCACTGCAGACACGGTGATCACCTGCGGAAACCGCTCGAGCCTGTTCAAAGCACGTTTGCTTTATATATACTTGAAAGATATCTCTAAACAGTTTGTTATGACCAATCTGACAGGACCATTATACGAAGGACGCCTCAGACAACACCTGCAGATGGTCTTTCGTGTTATATTCAGTGCAATTTACTTATAATGAAACTATATAAAAATTCAATCGTTATAACTGATTATCGTTGAATCTGAACTCGAAAGTGATCGTTTCTGGTCTAGAAACTCTATAAATGATCGTTATGAGAAGTGCATTGTTATACGCGGTATCGTTATAAGTGGATTGCACTGTAGCAGCAGGGTGAGTGCGGCTTTAAGTCTAGGCGCTCTCTTGTGCCCACCATCCTGACGTGCTGTATCCCACGACGGTGCTGGCGTTGGGGCCCTGGGCCAGCTCCTGGATACAGGTGACCCTGAGCTCGGGCTGCTGCTGGTCTCCGTGCTGGGACCGGTGCACGCGCAGCACGCGCTGGCCGAAGGCGAAGCTGCGCCTGCCGTCCAGCGAGTGCCAGCGACGGCCGGGAGAGGCGCTCGACACCGTCCAGGCAGGGAAGTGACAGCCTGCGCTCGGCTGCCGACCTGAAAAACGATTTCAACGGGGAGACAGTGACTGACACGAAACGGGTTTCCGTGAAATACTGTAACGCTCGACCGTCGCGCTTGATCTTTACGTGTAGGTTTAAGCTACTCTTTTATCTGGACTATCGTCCGCCAATGATTCAATCTTGAAAGTTTATATTTAACGAGGTGCACACTATATCCAGGCGGAGGCTATACAACAATGTGTTTTCTTACATCTTTCATTAGCGGGGATGTGACGGATTTTGTGTATGGCTGGGCATGAGTTAAATATGATTAAGGTGTGATACAACCGCTAGGTGTGCTGTGCATGATCTTTTACGTGTGGACTATTCATCGGGTGTGACCTGCGCACCGGGAGCGGACTATGCACAATCTTCGGAGTATCCAAAAAAAAGTTGTTTTTTTTTAGCCGAAATGTTTTTTTTTTTACAGACTGTCGTGTGCGAACTGTGGTACAAAGAAATATATATATATAGAGAGCATGCACGTTCATATGCGTCATTATTAAGTCAGAAATAGTAGATTACTTCTGATAGGGATCGAGCTTGAAACTAAGTAATTCCCTTCCAGATGCTATGGCGACAGAGCTAAACACTGAAGTGCGTAACAACAGCTATAGGCTGGTTCTTAAAGTCAAAAACATACACTAGCTTGATCATGTTCACAAAGACCGTGAGACAGAGGACGTGTTGTGCTACCGCACACATGATGTGTGTAGTTGCGCGGGACCGGCACACATCAACCCACCACCATCATACAAGGGCAGCACGCGGAACCCACACACTTCATGCGTACGGTAGTGCGACAAATATTGTCTCCCGGTCTTTGTCTGCTTAATCAAGCTAGTGTAGAACTTCCTTCGCGCCGCTTAGTATAGTTCCACACGGGCTTTGTCCTTCGCGGTTGGGGCAGCCGGAGTCAATACATGTCGAGAATGAGCTAACTTGTCATGTCAGATACGCTCCTAAGGGCATGTGTTTAGTGGCAGTGTTTGAGGCGAGGTTAAAGAATTTGAGAAAGTTTTAATAGACCTGTGTAGCATTGGCTATTGCGGTGTGCGAGTTAAAAGATACAAGTTTAGAGAAGCTCAGTTTGCATCAGACCAAGACGAGATTACTACTGAAATTATTGTTAGGCACGTTTTTTTTTTCTTAATCATATTTATTTTTAAATATAGTTTCGTTTATTTTTATAACATATATTCTTTTATATACTTATGGCTATGTTCCAAATCTTACCCGAGTAACCTGCCTCCTACGTCAGCGGGTAATACCACGTGACATCGCGAGTAAACGATCCGCGACTCGATTTTGGAACGGCCAGGATAATCACCTGGATACTACGCGGATTGGCTTCGTCTTGGGCGACGGCAAAAAGAAAACACAGCAGCGATGGCAGAAAATAGCAGACGATCCTTTTGATCATGGAGAAAGCACCCGAAGAACGGTAATGTTAATGACGACGCGGTGTATTTTGAGGTGGATCCACCAGCTCCTTTTACTCACCTTCGTTTTGAGCTGTATATTGAGATCAAAATTACTTACTCCTTACAGCTAGACATAAAAAAATGTGTTTTTATTAATCTGCGCGATCGGTGCAATTCTAGTCACGGTGCCCTAAACGCATATATTCCACGCATTGTAATTTGCACCGATTATGTTTTGCAGAAATATATTCCACACGGTGTAGCGGTACAGCGCGAGGGTGTTTTCTCCAGAATGATATAAAACTCACGTTCGCTTTGACGCGAATGTGATTACAGTGAAATTTTCGAAGCCTTCACTGCTTTACGAACGTTATCCTCTCATTACACACACTCTGGAGGAAACAAAAATATTACATTATCATACACCGAGTTCAAACATTTTCGGCCTTGAACGTGAGATTACGGCATTCCCCCAACGCCGAGGACGAGGATGCGGAGAAGCTCCTGTTTACGCTCGCACTCAGATAATAACAAGTACACGTTCCCGGGGAAGGTGGACGGTCTGGATGTAATGCAGTCAATTCCTGCGTTGACAACAGTAAATCGCAATAACCAGACATGCTGCACCTAATTCTTTGTAATTTCGAACGTCCGCCACCAAAACCAACGGAGCAAGCGAGCTTTGACGGCTGTCGGCGCAGAAAGCAGACGACGAACAGATCACGTGACGTATTTACTCGATTTGATCCGACTTTACCCCCCGATCGAGGAGGGTAGCGCGAGTAATTACTCCGGAGTAAACAACCCGCTTCTGGAACGCGAGTTCTGACGTCATCGAGTAAGCTCGAGTAAGTTTTGGAACGCCACGGTACGAAACTTTTACTCCGGAGTCGGATCGAGTAAATTTTGGAACACAGCCTATGTTAACTTGGACCACTGAAGAATTTAGATCAAACACAACGGTACAAACGGAAGAGGGCACAGCTGTTTCTTCTTTTATTTCTTACTTTGGTGTTTCACATAAATTCTTCAGTCGTCCACATTAACAGAGCACAAACTAATTCAGTCGCCTAAAGCCCGTAACACGTTTACTAATTGGGCATTATTTATTTAACGTTTCCGCTTGGAAGTATATTACTTCACATAGAATCAAGAATGAGCAAGATGGTAGTTTGTTAGAAATCTTACATCTGTTAACTTGAGACTGCTCATGCAAACATGGAATAAATGCAATTTCAAATCAAACAACGCTTGTTTTTTTTCTATCCCCCTCCCCCCCCCCCACACACACACACAAACAGTTTCGTTTAAACTCGGTATCATGTTAAGCAAACTCGTTTGACTTGACAGGAATGCATATACTTCATAATCCTTCGCCAAAAAAAAATGCAGCGATCCTGCTGTGTTTTTTCTTTTTTTTTTGGACTGAACATTTTTGTAGGTAACATAACTCCCTCAAAAACGTGACAAAATATCGCAGCAAAAATAAATGTAACAAGCAGCAGCAAAAGTGTATCGTCGCGGCACTCTTCGCATTTGTAGGTTTGCTATCAGCATCTACACCATTCGGTAATAGCAAAGACACAACGAGAATGAGTGCCCTGACCAGGCGCTTTTGGCGCTGCTTGATTGTCTCTATCGGATTGTAGCGTCGGGTGCGGTTGAACCCAACGTTATTAGATTACCTCAGTTGTGGAACTCCGCGGAGGGGGGTACCCCCCTCACTCACTTCAATCCGCCTAGCGTCGTTCGAAGCGCCATCTATATATTCGTTTCTTAACTATGCGTTACAAAGAACCCAGCTGAAGCGCCAAATGGCGATCACAACGCCGCCATTTAGCCTGCAGCGGTCACTCGAGGAACTGCACGTAGCATCTATTTTGGCTGTAATCGGCCATTTCGGAGCCGAAACAGATACAGTGGAAAGAGTTACAGGGATGGCACCCCCGTCTCCCCAGCGGATGCGCCGCGAATTTACCCCGAAGTTAAGATGAGCCTAGGTCGGGACGCGCTACCTGAAATCACCGGTGAGGCATGGTTGTATGAAAACAATATTAATTGTGCCGCAAAACCTTGCAAACTAAAGATTTTAGAAAACATCACGCGCCCCTCATTTTGTACTAAACTCCAATAAAAGTTACTACAAAACGAGTTTTTTTCCGTTGGATTTGACGTTTCTAGTAACGTTGAAACGTACGTATCCTGATTTAGTTACCAAAGCAGCCGTCTGGCGGAGCGTGAAGCGACGCTGGGCGAGTCGTGGTGAGTGAGGGGGGTACTGTTCGTGCATGCGGCGTCTATGACAGTTCCGTAACTGAGCTAATCTAATAACGTTGGTTGAACCTAATGTGAAACAGGCTGTGTTCCAAATAGATCCGAGTTACTCCAGCAGGTCGCGTCATGTGACAACAAATATAGAATGACGCAGGACGCGAGTACGTTTTCGAACGCCCAAGATGCAAAACCCTTACCCTAGAGTAAGAATGAACACATTTTAAACACAGCCAAAAAGTATCGTAGCTCTCCCCTCATATATCTCCTTTGAAATACACACCCCACCACAACTCAAATGATGGAAAATAATAGGTCATTCGAGAAATGTAAGAATAGCCTAGTAACCTATATGTTGAATCTTTCGTGACCTGCAGTGTGTACTTCAATATTTCATTTTCCAGATTAAAAAAAAAATATATATATATATATATTTTATCCAATGCAAATGTCTGTGGTACGTATGGGAATCATTCTTTATCCTCTGTTTTTTCTATTTTCTCTGCTGAGTGCGGTATAATCCTGGGGCTGGGGTCCTGTCAGAAGACAAGCATGTCTTCTTTTACCTAGCCCCCCCGACGTTTTCGTATAAAATAAAAATACAGTACAATACCATACAATACCCTGCCAATGTACTCTTGACAAAGACGTAATCGAATCAGTATCAGTGTATAAATTACATTGGCCTTAGACTAACACCTAACATTTCGTGGAACCTCACATCGAAGCCATTTCTGAAGAGGCTTCCCAGACGCTCCGATTCACCAGACGTAATCGTCGAGCCCCCCCCCCCCCCCCCCCCAATGTTTAAACGATGTCCTATAAAACTTACGTAAGATAAAATTTAGAATGTACATCCGTAATATGGAGCCCTCAACGAGTCTGATAAATCAACCTCCTAGAGTCAGCACAAAAAACAGAGTCGCCCGGTTCACCTTATCGTCGGTTGACCACTTCTCCAGTGTCTCTTCTCTAAAAAGTTAACTTCAACTTACATCCTTACTCACTCAAAGGAAACTGTATCGCCTTTTCATTCTGTATAAAATGTATTACCATTGTCCAGAACTAAATAACACTTTGTTTGCACACCCCGATAAAATATCATCCCGCCTGAATAACTCTCGCGCAATTAAACGAATTTCCAGCAAAACTAACGCCTTCAACAAACCGCTCCTCGCATATGCCATCGCCAAATAGAACCAGTAGCCATCCTCCATTGAAATCACCACTGATGCTGCGGTGTCTTACAATTCCTTACAAGCCCATTATGCATAATTTCTCCTGCTCTTATTTTTTGTGTGTTCTATTATTGTTCTACTAATGCGCCCGCTATTGTATTCCTCGTTATATTGCCAGCCCCCCCCCCCCCCCTCCCCTTATCTCATGCCCTAACCGGGTCTTTAAGGTGGAAATAAATAAAATGAAGTGGAGCTGAGAGTCATCTCGAGAAACTTGCGTACTTTTGGTGAGCGTCATTGTACGCGAGCCTTCGGACGCGGATACGAGTCCGTCGCACGTGGCGTCCGGTGACTGCGACAGCTTGTAGACGTTCTGGTGGCCGACGTGCTCGAACACCTGCGGGGACCAGCGAAACCAGAATGTCAGAAGTACGAAAAGTCGGCACGATTGAAAACAAACGTTGCTTCGTCACATCACAACTTACCTATGCGGGTAGAAACTGGGAAAGTGGAATAAACGAAAGCGCGCTAGGACGTTAGAACACCGGACTCTGCTTGGAATGCTCAGTGGGCAGACGAAAAGCGAGCTGCCTTTATCTTTCGTCAATCTTGGAACGCGGTCGAACGGCGCTATACCCACTTAGTCATTCCAACCAGAGCAGTGTTCTTGCTAAAATCTACAAAAAAAATTGGGTCTTTGAAAGGCTGCATCCAAATGCGCACTGCATGCTTGACAACTGTAGTGCTTTGCGAGATATGCGTCCCATTTCGCAAGAAAATGCACAAGTCTTAGAGAAGAACTTAGAAATTGAACCTGCGCATTCCCGAACCATATCAGAAAAGCTGCAATCGGTCAAGAGATATGTGTATAGCCTCCACAATCTCCAATCACGAGGCCGATAGGCTTTGAAACGAACTCATTAGCAATATAATTATTGTCCGTCACAGACAAGACAACACATAATTGGTGAATAAAGATAAAAGGAATCTGATTCAGACAATCTGTAGAAATTGTTGGTGCGGTAGCGCGTGCACACATTTAGTGAGCAGACAGCATCTCGCTCGGCGCCTCACTAAGCCTTGTCTTTCTGCTAAGATAACACCGAGCCCACAACCTGCCAGCCCGCGACGCTGGCGCCGCCTCGCGTAGGAACAGGGCAAGAAGGCGAAAGCGAAAGGAAAAGAGCAGACGACGATTCTGTCGCATTTGACCAGGCATCCCGGTGTAGAGGAGGCTATTCTTTCAATTATGTTTTCTTATTTTCTATTGTGCAGTCACTACTCTCACGCGCTTGCCACAGGGCGGTACCCTTCCTTGCTCTAAAACGCACATGAAAAAAGCAAAAAAAAACTCACGCTGATCTTTTTTTTTCATTTAACACAATGCATTTTTCCACCCTGCACTTGAATAAACAAATATTACAACAGCAATTACATGACCATAAAAAAAAATGCAGGATTTTTCTAAGAAGACTCAGGATTTCGTTCTTGCTTCTAGCCTTGCCCAAATAAAATGCGAGTTTACCAAAACCAAAGTCTGTTTTCCTTTCTGCCAATGAAAAAAACCGGGACAATAAAAATATAATTCTTCCGGAAAGTACTAAAGAACACAGCTTTGTTTTCTCCCTTGGGCTGAATACCCAAGATTTTTTTTTTCATTCTAACCCAACGTTAGTATACAGCGAGGTTACTCAAACTAAAGTTCCTATTCCTTCCTGATAATGAACGCAACAAAAACAGTAAAAATACTCCTTTAAGAAAAAAAAAAACTACACAGCGCTGCGCTGGTCCAGAGCGGACTGGGAGGCGCCGATCCCGCATTAAGAATGGTCAGCCAACCTTCCCGATTCCCGAGTCCTTGTTTCCTCCGAGGAAAGGAAGAGCCGCAGTCGATTAATTTCAATTGCTGGAGCGGCCCGTTTTTCTCCGGAGTCTGAACCCTGACCCTTGTAGTTCTGTACGAGAGTGTAATGGAGAGTAACGAACTGGCCTCACTTGCAGCGTCAATAATCGAACTCGTGTCCCTGTTGGGACCAATTTACCGCTCACGTGAACCCAGACATGAATGTACCAGTGCACGGTAGGGACTCTTTTTATTTAGTCATTCTGACACGGATTACGCTGTACTCACAGAGACAAACATCTTCGCACAGGAAAGACAGACGGTTCTAGAGCTATGCTATGTTCTTTTTTTCGCGACATCGATGCTACGAAAGTAATATTATGCTCATTCTAACATGTGAAAAAGTGCTTAAATTGCATGCGAGCGAGTGTACTTTCAACATGATGGTGAACCCTGAAGCCTTGGTGGAAAGAAGTTAAGGCAGTAATAGATAAAGAAAAAGGAAAGTTTCACACGCTTTCTGTCCCTCTTTATTCGTTCTCTATTACGGATTTATCTGCTTTCCACCGTTATTCGCAACGTGTATTTTCACGATTAACATGCTCGGTTAGTGCGTTCCTTTGTTGTTTTATTCAACTCAAATGACACGCTAACTATAATTCTCTAACACGTTTGCAAAAATCTTTTTCATTCATGAATGTAGCCATATCTACCCGCATAATCGTGATATGGGTCTTCAATTTTGGTCTCCAGCCATGTTTGTGTGGGGATACCTTGATTTTCAGCGCCACTTTGCTATATCTGGCGGAGGAGATACTCCGCCAAACAATATACCATTGCAACGTAAGATATATTGCCACAAAAAATAGGAGATGAATTTTAAGTTGAAAACAAACATTAAATGAGGCGAACTTGTGCGTACAAACCTAAAAACGAACGGCACAATTAAAAACAACGCAAAAGGATGGTACAAAAGTAGAAAGAGCACACAGGACAGACTGACTGACAACTAAATGTGTATTGGCAAAATCCACAGGTCCACAGTGTATCGAATATGCACGTGCTCATCTAATCACAGATTTGTGTGGGGTCATACCACGTGCTAAAATCAGCACTACATACCCGAACGTTAGCTTATTTAAACCAGCGGCGTCGCACGTAAAAATGTAATCAGGTGGAGATCAAACGCTCATCAAAAATACGATTAATGACTGTTAAATAAAATGACGATTAATTTCTGTTGCGCTGTTTTTACTCACGTCGTTATACAATCGCAGCACGTTTTAGAACGTTCTGAACCAGAACACACGTTGAGAACTCAAAATGGCATGGGACTTTACGGTAGCAGAGATGGCTAAAAGAAAGGGCTGGACCAGGCGGCGTTCGAACCCCGTTCCTCAGCGTGGCGGCCCCGTGTGTTGCCGAATCCGCCACGCACACGACAATATTTGTTCTAGTATGTTCGCTTACCGCACGCACTTACACTTTTTTTTTATTTTGTGCGATATGTCAGCTGTCATTTACTACCTACTACTTCAAAGGTTATATATGATCTTGTTGATTCGTGCAGTTGGCAATGTCTTACCTTCTGGCCGCTGACCGTGGCAGGGGTATACAATACAATACAATACATTCTCATTTTCCGAGAAAAGCATTACAGAAAATGTCTGGCCCAGGAAAGCTGAATTTGGCTTGTATGTGCGGCCAAGTAGCCAACTAAATTGATTTTTTTTTTTTAAAGCAGCAGTGCAACGTCTTGAGTATACACAAGATAAAGTCGGTCAGCGTGCCTTACGGATTGTTCACTGCGCATCTCTATTTCTGCGTCTGTTTTTGGATGTTAGAAAGCACCATTTCAAAATAACTTCTGCAGGACTGTCACCAAGTTAACATCCGTACCTCCAGAATGATAAGTTAAACTGCGTGATAACGCCACCGAGACCAGACAAAGATGGCGCCCAAAGCAGAAGGCTGAAGAAAAATCTTCACTAAGCATCGTTTGCAAATATTCCGTACTTCTTGGTCCTCTTTTTGTGCTGGTGAATCGAACGAAATCCTCATATTGAAAATAATTCTGCGCTCATTTATTAAGGCCAAAAGCAAGAACAGAGAACATAAGCTCCACAATGGCCGCACATACCTTCCGTGAAGCCCAACGGTCGCAGACGTTTCTTTACCATCTGCGAAGGGACGGCGATGTCCTTTTTCTTAACGGTGTAGTGAACGCGGAAGACGGGATAGCTCAGCTTCGTGCGCCATCATTAAAGATGAAAAAAAAAAAAAAAAACGTTTTGATGATAGGTTGCCATGACGATCGATAAGCTCTTCAGAAATTTACGTAGCACACCAGTAAATCGAAATTTCTGGGCACCTACACTCTCAAGTGCAGAAGGAAAAAAAAGAAAGAAAAAAAAGACTGCGCAGATCAGTACAAATTATAGAAGCAGCTTATCGGGTTAAGACGCTCGGGTGCGTTTTTCTTTCAAATATACGGTCTTGGAAAGCATGTTTTAAGACGTCCAGCTCCGAGCTTCCGGGCTGCACGTCCTAAACTGAAGTGTAATAAACCTCAGGAATAATAATGTAACCGTGCATGCATCACAGCCGTGATCGAACATAAAAAATACAAAGAGCTGGACACTATAGTGTAAAAATCATAAACGAGCACAAAAGTACGAAAAGAAAACATAGCCAAAAGTTAGTTTTAGCCTTCGCTTATTTAACATAAAGAACGCGAAGCAAAGGAGAACTCAGACTCGAAAACGGTCCTTGTCCGTCTTTGTCGGTGACTGTCTGCCCTTAGCGATATTTATGTTTAATATGATTAACGAACTGGCCCACCTTAACAGTTGAGTTTAGTATCTGATTCACTCAAAAAGATAGCGACTGCCCCTCTAAATGTTCCTTTGTCGAGCGCCAGTCTATGCTTCCATGAATGCATATAACCCTCCGCAAGTTTCCTAACTTTCACAACTAGTCAGAATGATAAGAGTCGTGATTTTCTGCGGAAAAAGCAGCGCATAGTTAGGTTTCTGATGCAGTTACTTATAATAGACTCTTTCCGAAATGAAATCTGGAAACTTTGATCACTCTCCTCATCTGAGGAATGGAATATGTCGTACTAATGGCAGCCTTGCGGTTGCTGATGATGGAAGACGTTCAAGATTCTCTGAAGCGAATCTTGAGAGGCCTCTTGTGACGTTATAAACGGGGCTTGCACGAAGAAGACGAGGCGGTGGGAGCACACGCAGAGACGCGCTCGTGGGCAGAGGACCGAAGCCACTGACCGAGATTGAACGTATCGCGACACCGGTGAAAGAGAGTACCGTGTTAAACCCCGGTCAGGCGCCAAAAAAAAAAAATTGGGTTGTGTGTGTGTTTATACAGCCTAGAACTTGGTCTGCCTCACAGGGGCGACGAGTCTCCCAGCTGTAGATGAGAAATTTAGCCAGTGCAGTACAACCGCTATCCTGGGGTTTTTAACTTGCATCAGACAGAAGGGATACACAACCACACGCCGGTACGATGCTCATCCAGATCGAAACGGGCAGGGG